ACTCAATGATTATGCAGCACCTACCACCACCAGATTGCCACTGAGCAAGCAGAGGTGAGCAAGCCCTCAAGGACCTTACAGACCTAGTGGGTGAGGCAGATAAGCAGCCTAACTGTTGCAAGGCTTTCCAATAGATGACAAGAAAAATTATAGATTTGGTGCTATGGGGACAGAGAGAAGAGGCATCTCTGTCAAATATTTTCAGGAGAAACATTCAAAATGAGGGTGAGAGAGGGGAACACTTAGACATTATAATTTGCTTTTCTTTTCCTATTGTCACAAGATACTTAAAACTTAACACTTCTAGTTGATACCCAAAAGAACTGAAAGCAGGACTCCAACAGATATTTACACACCCAAGTCCATAGCAGCATCATTCACAACAGCCAGAAGGTGGAAACAACCCAAGTGTCCATGGACAGGAGAATGGGCAACAAAATGTGACACGTACATACAGTGATTATTCAGTCTTTTAAATACAGGAAATTCTGACATGCAACAACGTTGATGCATTTTGAAGACATTATGTATGCTAAGTGAAATGAGCAAGACACAAAAAGACAAATATTTTATGATTTCACTTACAGGAGACACCTAAAGTAGTCAAAATCATAGAGATGGTAAGTAGAATGGTGGGTTCTGAAGGCAAGGGGGAGTTATTGCTTAAGGAATAGAGTCTCAGTTTGGGAAGATGAAAAAGTTCTAGAGATAGATGGTGGTGATCATTGTACAATTGTGTGAATGTACTTAATGCCATTGAACTATTTATTCAAAAATGTTAAAATAGTAAATTTTATGTTATGTGTATTTTACCATCAGAGAAAAAAATAGCCTCAGACAGTCTAACCCACTGATTTCACAAAGGAGATGACATCCAGAGAGGGAATTGCTGAAAGGCACATAGCCCTTTGGGCAGAGACTAAACCCAGACCCCTACGCCAGTGCTCTTGCCTGCTCCACATACGAATACTGACTCAAACAGCATTTTGTGCCAGGTGAGATTCTAAGCACTTTATATACATTAACTCACTCAATCCCCACAACAACCCACAAGGTAGGTCATGTTTTAAGTGAGGAAACTGTGGCATAAAGAATTTACATAATCTACCAAGAAGACCCAGTTCTGACCCAGTAGTGACAGATCTACTTACTGGTTCCAGAGTGGTGCACTTAACGACTACACTGTACTGCCGGATCTTAGTTTTCACGCCCTGCCCTTAAAGGCAAGAATTCTGCCCATCCTTAGTAGATTGCAAAAATGTTCCCAAATGTTCACCCCTCTCTTATTCATGTCCTCTGCAGTGTGACTTTGCAGCTGACCCCATCAAGAGGCAGAATCTACCATACTCCTCCATTCCTTGAATCTGGGCTGGCTGTGAAATTTGCATTGGTCAATGGAATGCAATGAAAATAATGATAAACTGGTTTCGAGCCCAGGTCTCCAGAGGTCTTGTAAGCTTCTTTTTTCTAAACCCCACCACTATTATGTGATTAGGTTTAGGTTAGCCTGCTGGAGAATGAGAGACCATGTGGAAAAGAGCCCAGATGTCCCAGCTGAGGCCAGCTAAGACCAGTCTACATCTAACCAGTCCACAAATATGTGAGAGAGCCCTGCAAGTTCAGCTGAGCTCAGTACATAGGCAGGATAATTTCTTAGGTTGCCCGTATATGTGGGTCAATTGCTTTCTGGGACAGTTACAATGAGGGAAACAATTTGATTTGGGATAGAATCAGGCCAGTTGGCTTTCTAGACTGTGGGAACAACGTGGGCAAAAAGAAGATAGGAAGTGTGCAGTGTGTTTGGAGAATAGTGACTATCCCATTAAACTATAGACCACTTGTGCCTAAAGGGTCAATGGGAAATAAACCTTGAGAAGTAGGTTAGACCTGGCTTAGTTTCTACCAAGTTTAGTAGGTGTTGAGAAGCCTTTATATGTATCACACTGTTCATTTTCTCCTTACAATACTACAAAGAAAGTACTATGGCTTAGAGTTACAGAAAAAAAGGTCCCAAGCCAGGATTTAAATACAGGCAGAGACCATAGCCTGCCTTATCCACTTACTACAAACCATGATGGAGACACTGAAGGTGGAGAGGACATTGTAAAGATAATGCAAATGCCAAGAAAGAAATTGTGAGGGCCTTACCTGAGGTGACGGCAGTGGGGAGAGATTGAAAATAATAGCTATGGGTGAAATGCAAGAGAGTGGGCCACAGGTTTAAACAGCAGACTGAGTGACCAAGGTCAAGAACGAAGGGAGTCACCAAAGAATGCTAAGATGATGAGCCCAGATGACCGGGAAAATGACTGGGGGCATGATCAAATACTCGAAAGTGCAGAAACTGGTTCAAATGAGTTGCTTCTGAAATGCCCCGCATGGGGAGAATGCGTGGAGAACTGCAAGTCGTTAAATGGATACAGAGTTAAGGCATGAAAACCATGTTTAGGGTCATCTACAGGGAGCCAGATCTCAACTTCCTCATTTGTAAAATGAAGCTGAATTTTATCCAGCATTTGGAACTTCTGTCTATAACAATATACTCAGTTTTGCTGGAAAGTTATTTTTGTTGGTAATCAAGTGGAAAGAAACATAAGGAATTTGGATGTTATTTCATTTAATAACACTGAATTTTCTCCTTTTTGCAATTTTGCTGAGATTTAAAATTTTATTACTCTTGTATCTATAAGCTTTTGAAAATCTAATATTTAGTTTCCATTTTCTTACAGGGGATTTTTTGCTTGTTTTTGCTTTGTTTTAAGACTCAAAATCAAAATTTTAAAGAATGATAGAGTAGCTAATATTTATTTCACACCCACTATGTGCCTGGCATTATGTATATATATTTTCTCCTTAAAATATAGCAATGTGAGGAGTAAGTAATTTTAACCTCATTTTAAAAATGAGGAAATGAGGCTTATCAGTTAAATAATTTGACCACAGTTAAAGCTAATTAAGAGAAGTAAAATGAGCTTTATCTTTTACAGACTTTCTACTCTTTGGTGTTTTTATTACAATGTTGGTTAATAAAGAAATGAAGGTAATAAATGTTCTCTTTCCAGAGCAGAAGTGGTTGAGAACACTGGAAAAAGACTGACCTGCCTATTCAGAACAGAAGATCTAGTGTGTTGGCGAGTGGCATGCAAGAAAGTACCTTAACTACATGTAGCCTGATGAGAAACAGATGTGAAGTCAAATCTGCATTCTGCCATACTCATTTGTAGCATTTGGCAACCATTTACCCCATCTGAGTCACAATTTTCTCAACTGTAAAATTCAGCATAATAAAAGCTCATGGACCAGGTTATTACGAGAACCAAGGAGAGAAAGGGGTCAATGATGAGAACTTACATTGTCTTGGAGATGATGACTTGTAAAAAAAGAAAGAGTAAGAGAATACATGAAAGCATCTACTGCATGTCTACCAAGGTAGTCAATAATGTTTCCTTTTTCTGTCCAAAACATTAAGATCCCAGAATTTATGGATGACATATGGACTTTGTATAAAGAATATTTATCATTTCCCAATTATTATATTAATGATCATCTTTATTGAATTTGAATTAACAATGCATATCAGTGGGGCTTATTTTTAATGAGCAATGTATCAAGTGATTCTTTTCAAATCTCTGATAAGTTGGTAAGTAAAAACATTGCCGATTAAAATTAATCGTTGGTCTGCACCCATTAACATTTACAGGTGAAATATGCTCCATGTGTTACACATTCAGCACATGCCGGGAACCAGAAACCCATACCTGCAGCTGACTCACTAACGTCCACTCGCAGCCCGAGCACTGTCAGCACCTCTGACTCACTCGTTCATCAAATAATAAATCTCAGCTAAATGACATACACATCAAACAAAGTTTTAAATTTAGAAGTAGTTCTCTCCCTGCTCAGGACATAAAACAGTTTGTTCATCAGTAAGCAAAGAATCTAGAAAGACCACTGTTTTTAGCTCTTTCATTTTTCCAACTGTGACTCCTCTATTCTTTCCTAAATGCTCTCTTTTGATCCCATCACAAGATGTGGTTAACTTACCCTCATTAACACATAAATGAGTGATAAAGCCTAATGTCTCCTAGAGGTATTTGTCCACACATAACTGGAAATAAGGTCACTGGCTTAAATAAAAGGAATGAGAGTCTTCTCATGAATGTTAAGGATGTGAAAAGCAACAAGAAAGAACGCTTTTAATCATAAGTCTTTATGTTGCTCTCCAAGTCAACTCAATAGGCTACCACCAGCACTTGAAACAGGATATGTCTATCACATAACCCGAAACTCCTTCATTCAGTCCACCATGACGTAGGTGTACAGGCAACACTTGCTGATTAGAGCCACAAGGGCCTCACTCTGGGTATGCTGCCACCGCCGCCACTGCCACCATCACTACCACCACCACCACCACTACCATCACCACAACTGCTTCCAAACCACTGTCACTGGCTTCCAGGGATTCTCAGCCTATGTCCTGGGAGATTGTGAAGCCTCTTGTTAAGGCTGCCAGTGAGGGTGAGAATGAGTTCGTGCCTAGGAAGGGCTGTTGGGTGAGGAAGGGACCTGCTTCCACTATCACATATAACCCAAACCCCATCACTCAGAAAAGTAGTTGCCGTCAAAGGACAATCACAGCAAAGTCAATTTTGAGCTCAGAAAGGAAAGTCCTTCCAGGACTGAACAAGTCTGTATAAAATATTTCAAGCCCTGGCTGGTGTAGCTCAGTGGATTGAACATGGGCTGCAAACCAATGTGTCGCAGGTTCGATTCCCTGGGTTGCAGGCCATGACCCCCAGCAACCGCACATTGATGTTTCTCTCTCTCTCTCTGCCTCCCTCCCTTCCCTCTCTAAAAATAAATAAATAAAATCTTAAAAAAATATATTGCCTACTCAATTCTCCACCTAAAAACTGGCTGAGCTTTCAACACGAAAAGTGTCAGTTACCTCCCACTCCCAGGCAAAGTGCTATCGGGGAAGAATAAGCAGTGTAACTTACCTGAGATCCATATCTCCTTCAACCCAGAAGGTGAAGATGTTAGAAATGGTTCCACCTGGGCAGCAGCCCATGATGAGAACAACAGTAGCTTGCACAGGCTTCAGAGAGAAGCTGGTGGCCAGAAGATAAGCTGTAAGAGGCATGAGACCAAACTGGCAGAGCAATCCCACAGCAATGCCCCAGGGTCTCTTGATGTGCAGCCACAGCTTCCTGATCTCCACAGAGCACCCCAGTGAGAACATGAGCAGGCCCATCATCAAGACTGACACCACTGTGAAAACAAGTTTCAGGTTCTCAGGTGCCGGCAGCCCCACTGGCTGCTCCTCCTCTGAACTGTTGGCAGGGCAGGCTGAGCTGCTGGAACAATTCACTTCCATCTCCTCATCTCCTTAGGCAGCATTACAAATGAACATCTGCCGAGATGACTGGGCAGGTCTATCCTGTCTCATTTTGTAATAATGCAACAAAGTCACGCGTGGAGAATCACTCCAATAACTATTGGCCAGTCAGATGATTCATCCTCATCTGATCAATTTCTTTACGACTGGCATTATAAAAGCAAATATGGTCATGACGTGTATAATAAACGGCATGTGGTAAGTAAGGCTTTCCACTTCTGTTTTTACTCACCACTGAATATTAAAGTGAAATGAGACAAGCAAACTTGTCAAGTGGAGTGATCAGCGATGTCGTCAACATCCCATTGTGTGTTCCAGGAAAGTGGGGTGGATGCCAAGACATAATTTCTCCAAATTCCATGGGGATTTCTAAGAGCCAGGATGCAATGTTTTGGAGAGAAAGGGGCTAATTTCAGGAAAATAAACAAAGGCAATTAAGCCAAAGCCTGGTATCACAGCATTAGCAAAGCATTTCTGTTGAAAATATTAAAGCAAAAGGCTGCCAGCTAAGGAAATGGCAGGGGGAACTAAGGATAATTTCAAGAGAGGTTCAGAATTAGTCTGTCTTTCTTCTCCCTACTTCTATTAGAATTTATGTCTAAAGTCACAAATGAAACACCTGCGAGAATAATGTCATGTAAAGCACCTGAGTATGTCTCATCAAACATGTGGAAACTCATTTCTGTACCCAAAATAATTCAAGGGAGCTGTGACTTTCCTTTGGAAAACAGTGTTGGCTTTGTGATGCCACAGCCTTGGGGCTCCCGGTGAGGTCTGGGAACTCCACAGGGAGTGCAGTAAAGAGCTTGTCTGAGGTCTGCAAACAGCCTGAGGTCAGCCTCTGACCACAATGGCCCAGAAGCCCTCTGTGTGTTCTGACCAGCACCACTGGCAAAACCATACAAGGAAAATGTGGTTCTGTGAAACTAAACCTCCAAAAAAGCAGAGGCCACACCCTTTCTCACAGAGAACAGAAAGGTTATTTGTGGGACAAAGGCTGATGACAAGGTGCACTTTATAAACAACTGCCTGTCTTAAAAGGAATACCAGCTATGCATTGTTCATTTTTTGATGAGCAAATTATTCTTCATGACAAAATGGGCATGTTTCCTGTATAAAACTACAAGTTGAATACAAATGTAAAATAAAACCTAACTATTTGAAGAAAGTATAAACTGCCTTAGGCCAACAGATCCTAAAAGCAGCTCTGAAAGTGAAACTTTGCTGGAGGCTACCAGAGGGGAGCACAACCAGCTGCTGCCTCCAACTCTTGTTTTATGTCTGAGAACAAACCCACATTTGCACCAAGCTTGGCGAGTTGTCAGAAGGCAACCTGGAACCATCTGCAGTGCATTTACACAGAGCCAAGCAGAGAAATGGACACAGGAGCTAGTCTCATCTCTAGAAAGCTGCATGTTCCCAGTTTGAATAATGCAGACATGTGGTAGAGCTGAGGAGGGACAGAGGAGGGTGACAGGGCATGCTAGGGGCTGAACACTTATGTGGCTGTGTCTGATGAAGCAGTTTTTAAAAAGTTATTTAGTAAGAGAAGGTATCAGACATTTCTTTCTGGATAACATCAAAAATTTCCTTGGCAGACCTTTGTTCCTGGAAGAGTCACTTCTTGGTTATACAAATTCAAGTTTAGTAAGCTCCTCCATTCCTGAGTGAGGAGAGATGATAGCAACTTGAGTGATTTGCTTGGTACTCAGCACTGATAGCTGGAGGAAGTGTCTACATTTGCACGCTGCTCTGAAGGAGCCTCCTCGAGGGAAAGGTGACCTTGGCCACTGCCCATTTGAAATGTGTTGTTATCAGAATTTCTTAACTGAATTAGGATGTAGGATGGTTCCAACTGACATCCACTGTCAGGAAAAGATACCAAGGTCCAACAAACACCGTGAAAGGGATATCTGGATGGGTAACAAGTTACTCTGGGTTCAGTCATCCTGGCACAGATGTCACAGGGTGATATAGGACACAATGACTGAGGGTGTGGTTGTAACTGCAAGAGAAGTAACCTTCAGAGGACAACGTGGTTGTGTGCCAGGATCTGGACCAGAAGGGAGCAGTGGGTAAGAGCCCACTGGACTGAGTGAGACCAAAAGGTCCCAACAAAAACAACAGCAGCTGAAACCAGGGCGTACTAGCGAGACTGGTCAGGCTTTTCCAAGTTTCTCTCCATCTGGGGTTGGGAAGGAGACCTCTTGGGAAGAGTAAGCCCCTGAAGTTCTTGCTAAATTTGTAAAGAGTATTTTAAATAGGGGGTTCTAAACACACTGGCTTGTAGGAATTCAACAATTACAAAATTTTTAAAGGTATACCCACAGCTGATGAGGTGGGTCATGAGATCCCATTTAATCTTCTCAGTCATTCTAAGAGGTAATTGCTATCATTCCCGGCTTCACACATACAGAAACAAAGTCCTAGTGAGGCTCTGGGATTTGTCCAATGTTAGTAAGCCAGTAAATTGTAACACCAGGATTTCAATCCCAGTCTAATTCTCAGCCTGTTCTCACTTCCCTGGAGAACACTGGTGTGGAAGCACTGCAAAGTAGTCTACAGCATGATCATGCTGAATGACTGACAACCACATGGGCATAGCTCAGGGATAAAACACTATTTGGCATAAAGATGAAGAAAAAAGTCAACTTCTGGCCAAGATGGAAGCACAGGTAGACATACTTTGCCTCCTCACACAACCAAAACAAGGACAACAACAAATTTAAAAACAAAAATCCAGCAGAACTTCCAGAAAATTGAACTGTATGGAAATCTGACAACCAAGGAGTTAAAGAAGAAACATTCATCCAGACCAGTAGAAGGGGCAGAGACAGGAAGCCAGGGCAGAGAGGATGTTGGCAAGGCGCAACTGGAGGACCAGAAGGGTGAGGCGGCAGCTGACAGAGCAGACGGTCCCACATTTGCATGTGGATAAACTAGGAAGAACAACTGGGGAACCAGACAGACCATGCAACCCAGGGTTCCAGCTCACGAAAAGCCTCAAAACTTCTGACTGAAAAAACCCATAAGGGTTGCGGTGGTTAGAGAAACTCCCAGCTTCACAGGAGAGTTCATTGGAGAGATCCATGGGGTCCTAGAATGTACACAAATCTACCTGCCCAATGTGGGGGGAGAATGGGGGAAAGGGTACAGGGAATAAGAAGCGTAAGGGGTAGGTACAAAATAGACAGAATGAGGTTAAGAACAGTATGAGAAATAGAGAAGCCAAAGAACTTGTATGTATGATCTGTGGACATGAACTAAGGGAGGGGAATGCTGGTGGAGGGGCAGTGCAGGATGGAGAGGAATAAAGGGGAGAAAAAAATGGGACAACTCTAATAGTATAATCAATAAAATATACTTAAAAAAAGATGAGGAATAAAACCAACTAATCCCTAATCTTTAATTGTATCTCATATGCTCATAAATGTATAAGCCATCTGTATATGTTCAACATAAATGCACCTAAATTTTGAGATTCAGTTCTACAAATCACAGGAAGTACTTCATATATTTCTGTTCTCTGCAAATAGAATTAGGAGTGAAAGAGAGTCTTCAGGAAAACCAACCAAAGAGCCTGTGCTCTTCAGTCTGGGAATGTAAACGCTGAAAGGAAAGCACCAAAAAGAAAGGTAATTACACATGGCTATGGGATTGGTTCTCCAACTGAAAATGGCCACAAGGGGGAACTTCTAAAAGCTTGAAAGACACAAAAAATCCCATAGACTCTGAAAGAGTTTAGGTAAACTCTTGAAAGATAGGTCTGAATCAAGTTTAAAGAAATAAGTAGTAAGGAAGTAAACTGTTTACTCAGATATAACACAAGATAAAAAGCCTAATTCTATATTTTTAAAAAAAATGAAACTGCAAAAATAAAAAGACTATCATCTCACAGAAAAAATAAAGAGACCAATAATTGAAAAAGATAATTCTCTAAGTCATTAACAGGCATGGGAATCAACAACACTAATAATTTTTAAAGTATATTAAAATATGTGTTACCTATCAGTAAGAAAAAGAATTTAAGTTGAATATCCCTTATTGACAAGAGTTGACTGAAAGATACATTCTCATATACTGCATGTAAGATTGAAAATTCACATAACTTTTCTGGAAAAATCTGGCAATATGTAGTAACAACCTTTGTCACAAAAAAAGCCCAAGAAGCTGTCTTAATGAGTAAGCAGCAACACTGGCAAAAATGTATTATTTATTTGGAGCAGATGTTCCTGTATATAAAGGTGCTGTTACTTATAAATAAATTTTTGTTTATAATAGTGGTACTATTTATAAAAGCAGAAAACTGGGATCAACTTAAATGTCCAAAGTGTGACTGACTTAAGTAAAATGGTACAACCATACAATGACATATTATGGAACTATTTAAAATGTGAACATTTTAACAAAGAGAAATGTTTACATTGTAAGGTTAAGCAAAAATAAAATCAAGATCAAATGGTATAGATAGAATTCTCCTAGACATATTAAAATAAACACAGAAAGAGGCTTAATAGAAACACTGCAAAATGTTCATAGTGACTTCATCTATATGTAGGACCATGGATGATTTTTTCTTCTTTTCATATATATTTTTTAAATTAATTTATTTTTTAGAAATATGGGGAAGGAGGGAGAAAGAGAGGGAAAGAAACATTGATGCAAGAGAGAAACATCAATGTGTTGCCACTCTTATGCACTCCGACAGTGGACTGAACCTTCAACCTAAGTGTGTACCCCTCCAGGAATTGAATCAGTGACTTTTTACTTCAGGAGACAATGCCCAACCAACTGAGCCACACTGGTCAGGGCTCTTCTTTATATTTTTTGTATGACCTAGTATCTTTGAAATGGCTATGTGTTACTATTTTTATAATAATTATATAATCATTTAAAAATTTATAATATTTTTATAAGAAAGAGGAGTAAAGATAGAGGAAGTTGTGGTTATTTCAAGCAGCTCCTTAAATGTTGATAGC